CACACACACTCACAGACTCACAGAGAGAGAGTGAGAGCGAGTGAGCAGGAAGGAACCCGTATTAAGAGGGACACTTGAATGAATCAGAAGAATAGGTTTTTGCATGTCAAGCAGCTCGAGTACCAAGCTTTGAATGGACAGACAGAACCACCTTCTCCAGTTCAAATGATGCAAACCTGCAGGATAGGAGGAATTTAAACTCCTCTGTGTGTTTCTCATTTCTCTAACCCCTAAATCACCAGAGGTACAAGAACAGCACATAGTTTGTTCTAAAGGAAGTGGAACACAATCTAACAGACTCTGAAAACTTTGACTTGATTTTTCAAGCCAAGCATTTAATTCGTCTTATTCTGGTTTTTATATTTCTGGAAGACAATTCAACGTACAAGATCATATGCAGATAAAACATATTGTTTTGATTCTAGCCAATTCTCTTCTGTCAAGAAAAATCTTGACATGTTCAAGTGAGGGATTCAGTTAAGTGGGGCTCTATGAAATCTGTGAAAGATTCATATCATGGCTTAAAGTTCCGGCTTGGTCCACTTTTGTTTCTCCAGCTGCTTGAGAAACCATAACTTTTCCTAATAGCAGAGTTCAGTCATTGCTGGGAGTTTTGTTTTGGACTCTTGTTAAAGTTGAACATTGCATGGCACGATTGGCTCTGCACATGAACATTGTTCAGGTGTTTATTGGTAAAGCAGCTCTGTATTTGTTTGGCACAGGTGTACCAAACTGTCAGGGCTGCATCGGGTATTTTTCATATGAATACTCAGGGTTTCCACCAGAAAGTCTGCTAAGTCTGGTGGTAAGTGCGCTGGGCGCTCCACCATATTTTTATGTTAAAAATGTGAAATGTTACAAAAACTTGTAGGCGCATGAGTAGGCATCATAATTTGGAAATGGTAGTGTGTGATGCCAACAGGCAGGTTTAACTGGTTCGTGCCCAGTTCAATGCGTCAACTACAAACCCAGAACATTAACCTTTCTACCACTAAATTGATTTTATCAATACATTCTGCCACGCTGTATAATGAGTGGCTTAGAAATAACAGGAGATGTAGTTTCACAGAATCGAGTCATTCTACTACAAAAACACATGAAAACGATTATTGTTTTTAAGATTTTTTTTATTAACCCTGTACTGACAGTTGGTCCTAAGCAACTCACTTCAGATTAGTTTCAATGTATAATCCAGTGTTGCAGTCGAACCTCATAGATGTGCACCTGATGGGGAACCCCCTCCTGAAGGTGGACAGACTGTCCTGTGCGATCACATGTCTGCTGCTAGAAATACTTCCACTGCACTTGGGGCTGGTTGAATACTACAGGCCACTGGCTATTTATCTCTGTAGCAGTGATGTTTACGTTTGGTGTGACGTCTTGGGTGAGTAATTAAGTCCAGTGTAGAGCAAGTTAAGTATTATAAGCTGTTCAAAAACCCTGACACAAAGCAACGGTTTGCTCCACCTTTGCTTCTATTAATAATTAAGTTATTTAAACAAACAAGCATACAGTTTAACTACTTAAAGGAGAATCCTGAGGGGAACTGCGAATGAACGTCCAAAGTTTTATTAGGCAGTTAAAGATAAAGTTTGATCAAAAGAAGCGCTGCACAATATACCTCAAATACAATGTCATCAATATGTGCAATAAAAGGACTGTTTGGGGTGCAATAACTGTTGGCTAATACATTCCAAGTGTTATGAACTTGCATTTTTCATGCTAATGTAGTATTTATCCAGTTGGACAGTCTTATGGCAGAAGATGTTCACACCAGACACTAATGGCACTGCTAAAGGTCAGAGAGTGATGGAAATGGATGAGGAGGAGAGGAAAGAAGAAAATAGGCATATGTGGCAACTTATATTGTTATTGCAATATTTACTAACATTATCATAAGATTTTCTAACATTATGCAGCCCTAATAGTAAGAATAACTCCAAAATACAGAGAAGCATGCTTTCACAAAAAGATGGCATGAGTGCAGCATCTCCTAAGGTGCTATTAGGAGGTTATCTGTTGAAAACTTCTGTATTTTTGTCATGTCACAATGTATGCTGTACTATTTGAAAAAATGGCAATGTTAGTATTTTCCCAGTAAGATGCAGCCCTAGTCAATGCCTCTCTCTAAAACTAAGAGCATTTAAGAGTATATGTGGAGTTAATACAAATATTGGTATTTTTTTTTTACACTAAATTCATGACCATGATATTATCACAGTGTCACCAGGGCAAAGAAAATTTCTAATCAGTTTTAAAAACTCGTCAAACACATTGCATATTTAGGACACAGGTTGCTATTCTTAACAAAGGACACTTTTTAACAGTTTGTCTCAAAATTATTATGAACCATAGAAAATCAAAAATAGCACTGGTACACCAGGTTAAAAGTCAAGGAGAAAAAGAGTGTTTTTAAAAGAGCTTTAAAAACAGGAAGCGATGGAGCCTGCCTGACGTGCAGCGGCAGCTCGTTCCGCGTTTTAGGAGCCAAAACTGCAAAGGCTCTGTTTCCTCTGGATTTATAAAATGTCAGTGAACACCATGAGGTCCGCTGATCTAAGAGCACACAATGGCATCTAAAGGTGAAGCAGATCAGACAAATAAGAAGAGGCAAGACCATTTAACCATTTAACGTATTAAAGATGAAAGAAATAAAATCCAAAGTGGATTATCCAGAAAGTCTGTAAAGGGAAGTTGTAACTACATGCATGTGCTTTCATTTGCTTGTACAAGTTAAAAATTGTGCAGTAGCATTTTTTTTTTTTTTACCTGATGTGTATGTGAGAGGACGACTTGGCTAATGTCAATCAAAAAGAGAGTCACAATAATCCCGACATGATGTGATAACAGCGTGGATCACTGTCGCGAGGTGGCGTCTATGCAGAGGAGCTTAACATTTGACAGCCGCCTCGACTGAAAGAAAGAAACTTAACCACAGCACTGACATGTGAACCAGATTTTAGGCTGAGGTCCATTTCACACCTACATCTGTGATGCTGGACTTTTTCTGGGAGTCAAACGAAGGGATACAGCTGGATGACATGGACTCCTATCAGAGTACATGTTTCCTTTCCTCCTATCAGAGATGTAGGACATAAACTACTGCAGAGCTGCCCAATGTTTTAAGCACAATTTAAACATTGTTCCCAGAATCCATTGCTAAAGACAAAGTAAAAACCCTTAACACGGCATTTAATATGTTTTAAACCCAGATGATAGACGCTTTATAAATGGACAGATATAGATTTATTCAAAAAGCCCTTCAAATCCGATTTTTTTCCCCCAATATTTTGGACAAAATGGTAACTAAAAATCAAAATATTGACATATATTACTTCAATGGAGATGTTGAGTGTTGAGCATTTTTAAAAGGGCGATTTCCTTTTATACTAATAAAGAGGGAATATAAATATAAAGGGAAATAAAATACATGTGATAAATGAATCTGGAAAATGTAATTTTTATTCTGGTGACTGTTTATAAAGGAAAGTTAAAGAAACAGTGTTTTAATTGGCTAAATCCAATATGGAATATCATCTGCAATATAGTTATCAATGTATTTAAAAAAATATATTGTTATATCATTTTCTGGCAGTATACCTCCAGTTGGGCCATTCCCTGATTTAACGAGACCAAAGGGGTCCAATAAATCTAAAAGGTTATTTACTAGAAGCGGTCACAATAGTTCCATAGAAAGTCTTAGTTTTACTGGGTTAATGCTGGTTTTCATTGGACGGGAGGCATACAACTATTCTCTCAACAACAGAGATATTTATTGTTTTTAATTTATTTAGGTTATTCAACATCATATTGGTGCAGATTGCTGTTATACCTGTTCAGTTCTGTAGCTTATTTGAAAAAAAAAAAAAAAAAAAAATCCTTCTTGAGAAACATGGACTGTGGACGCTAACATTAGCTTTGGAGACATCTGTGCTTCTGCAGCAGGTTTAGCATCAAGATGCTATTTTAGGCTTGAAGAGCTTCGCTGACAGTCTAAGTCCTTTTAGCACAATGTGCACACAACGGTCTTTTCCGGCGTCCCATCAAGTCATTTTTTTAAGTGTAAATTAACCCCCAGTAGGCCAAAAGAAGCAGTTTTGTCGTCCATTGTTGTTTGCAGATGTGCATCAGTTTTATGGGCGTACCAGAAACACCTGAGTGCGAAGGTTCTGGCTGGAACCTTTTGTACGTAAAAAAAAAAAAAAAGTCATTAGAAGGATAAAGCGAGTCTTTATAATTAATTAATTGAAGTTACACTGAATAATCAGTATAGCTAAAACAAAGGTAGCTGGTTATGGGATTTAACCTTTACTGGAATCTATGTCTTTAAGCCAGTATGTTTGATTAAGATTAAGATTCATTTTACTGGCCAACATTTAAAATTTCCATTTATGGTGTATATACATCAGCCTTTCTATCAGGCCAGAAAAAGTTTGACTGCCTCATTTTGACAGAAGTGAAAAATATAACCACATTAAAAGAAAACATCAAAATAAAACGGTTCCCCTTCTTCAGTTGTTCACATTGACTTCTCAGCCATCATTACATCATTAATCTGACACCGAACCTATAACACGGAAAAGCTGCACAGACCCTATTGAACATATTGTCTCTCCCTGTAGCTCCGTAATTGGCCTGTTCTTGCTGATGTGAGTTATTAAGTAAGTAAAAAGAGAACATTCAGTATCGTTCCCTTCAACGGGGCGATTGTGTTGGAGGGAAGGCCTGCATTATGTGAAGGTAACAGCAGCCGGTGGAATGCTGGTTGTGATGGGGTCCAAGTGTCTGACAGAATTATCTGTGTCAAGTGGCTCTCTGACCACAGTTACATGATCTCATGAGGAACCCCCCCCACCCCCCTCCTCATCCCCCATCCTCCACTCAACACACACAGATATATATATGTATATAATTATACACAGACACAGTCGCAGTTAAAGCTGCAAGCCGCTCACACACACTACATCTGACCTAAAGGTCAAGGTGCACTGACTCCAGGGTTTGTCTGACTGGGCCTCTTGAAAGTCTCTCTTTGCATTCCAGCGCCTGGAGGAGGGGGGTTGGAGCAGCCAGGCTTATTACCGGAGCGAGAGAAAGAGGGAGGGAGAAGAGGAGGGGGGTTGAAAGAAGCTGGAAGATATTATGGACTATTTCCTTGCCTAGAAACCCAGCGCTTGTTCCCTCCCACTCAGCCGGCAAGTTTTACAACAAAAGTGGAGAAAACGCTGAAAACTTGAACCTGCTGCTCTCCTCCGGCTGCCTCGGCCTTCCTAGCTTGTTTTCTTTCCCCGCCGCTGCCTGCGCATGTTTCTCGCTCTCCTGCTCCCACCCTCCCTCTGCCTCCTTCTCTGGGCTGCATGTAAGGAGATCACTTTGTTTCCGTAGCCTTTTTCCGCGGTGTTGCAGACACACATGGAGAAGAGGATTGAATTTGAGGAGATAGTGACAGGGTGGGAGGTGGGTGAGGCGGGGAGGGGCTGGTGGTGTTTCACAGCTGCAAGAATCCCCTCCATCTTCCCCACACCAGGGCTAATGCTCCCCTCCCTCTCCCGCTCTCTTCTCGGGGTGTTTGACTCTCCCTCCGCCGCGCTGTCTCTGCTTTCTGCCTGTCGGAGGGGTGGGGGTGCCATATGGAAGCTCCAAAAAATTTAAGCGGATCGGAGATAAAGCGAGAGGAATCTTACATTTGCGAGCTCAGATGTCGGGAACTATGTGGTAAGTGCTCTTCTGTTTCTAGCGAAGCACTTTTCAGAAGTTGTGTCAGTGAGAATCTCCATCTGCCTGCCCTGCTCCATAGCTAGCAAAATGGGTTTTTTAAAAAGTGTTGGACTGGTGTTTTGTTTTAGGCAAAGTGAAAGAAAACAGAACTTTTCTTTCACTTTATGTTTGAAGCTGCTCTCGTCACACGGCTGTAAGAGGCTGTTGAATTTTAAATTTTGAGGGTCAAGGTGGACTGATGCGGGGGGGATGGAAAACGGGGCCATATGGGGGAAGGGAATTTGGTGGGGTCAAAGAGACTGGCACGATGGCTCGAAAAAACTTTTTTAGTTGTGACACTGACACTGAAACGTCTCTTTGTATTTGGAGCTGAAGTGAAGGAGATCTGCGTTTCTGCCTGATTAAATTTACCCAATGCTCAGTTATGATGGATTTAAATTGTAGAACACACACACACACAAAAAAAAAAATTCTCAATTTCTTTAATAAATGAGGACAAGATCTGGAGAATTTCTATATTACAAAATTGTAGAGTAAGCATTTCTGCTAACAAATTGCTCGCTCACTTGTTTTTAATCCAGAAATCTGCAAAAGTTTCAGAGTTGAGAAGCCCTGTCGGCTGAGCGCCGATCTGGATTTGGTCGGCCTTTGTTGAAATGCTTCAGGGTTGTAGATTTTTCTGGTGGTGTTGCTGAAATGAAATGTTTCTGACTATCATGACTGCTGTCTGCTTTCTGCAGAAAGCTGAAGAAGATATTGGTAGATTTTGCTGCGGTTCCAAATGAACATTTCTCTGCAGGCTACTTGAATGAGCCTTTTGTGTGATAAATCTAAAGGATACCTCAGCAGCACTCTGTGCATCTATATAGTACATTTTGAACTATGTATTTATTTGACAATGAATTGTTGCATTTAGTGTTTTATGTTTATTTAGTTTCTGTGCATTTCTAAAATCTTGAATTAACTCTTTATTTTATTTTATTTTATATTTTTACAAATTATTTGCAAGATATTTTTAATTTCCTATTTCTGCATGCAACAGATAAAACTGCAGTTTTTCACTTGCAAAAACATTTGCTAAACATCACCATTTCTAGGCCTGTTTATTCCTTTGGTCTTTATTTTAACCTCACCAGTGAGAAACTTCTCAACCATCCTCACTTTGCATGAATGCAATGAGAAAGTGAAGCGATTTTGGTCAGCTGCTGAACTTTAGTGCTGTGATTTATGTGCTTCACCTTGTTGGCTCGTTGGCTGTTGGCGGGTTTTGACCCCTCTCTCTCTCTCGTTGAAGAAATCAGATCCCTTCTCTGTCTGACTCATTCTCTGCCTCCCTCGCTCCCTCTTGTCATTAGACATGGCAGCAACATGGGAATTAAATGTCTTGACTTGCAATTGTGAGCATATTTCTTTTGTGGAAGGTGCTGTCAAGCTGTAATTTCAACTAATTGTGCCTTTGTTTTTAATTTGCCTTATTTAAATTATGCAGGGGATTCGTGTGTGTGTGTGTGCGCTGGATCTCAGTCAGCAGCACAGCTCTTTTATAGACACAGACACAATGTCTACTGCAGAATCTAGTTCTCTATTTTGAGCATGTAGGTCACGGTATAATGAAGCAGCAGAACAGTAGGCCGCCGTCATGAGGATTCGTGAAGTTTGCTGTCAAAAAGTTGCACTTTTAATGGAGGTGGCTCCTCTTTCTGCTCCAACTGTGCCTGCTAAAAACCACAAACTGCTTACTCAGCACTGAGAAAAAGAAGCATAATGTTCTCTCAGTTAGGGATGGGTGATACGGACTTAAAAGTTCACCAGTATATTTTGTGGTATTTATTATAATATGGATAAAATTGACGACTAAAAATACCTTGCAGACTTTTTTTATGATAGATTATGTCAAGCATAAATTTTGCTTAAAAAACAAACAAACAGAAAAGTCAATAAAAATCAAAGAACTGATTATTGAATAGTGCTTCAGGACACAAAATACATGAAGTACTGCAATTTTTTTGTAGTACTCTTTTTCACTGCACTCTGAAAAGTGACAAAAATAAAAAAGTAATATTAATATTCTTCATATCAAAATAATAATTTAAAAAATAATCAAAACCAATACAATAAATGCCTTTCCCTACTCTGAGTCACATTCAGAATCTGTCCATATGAATTTGAAAAAGTTGATTGGAGAAACTTTGGCTTTATTTACCTTTCTAAATAAAATTGCTGTTGTCCAATCTGAAAGGAGCAAACATGTTTTTCCACTGCATGTGTGCATACAGAAGATCGCAGCAGCTTTTTGTCCTTCACACCAAGCGTAGACTTGTCAGATAACCCCTCTGACCCACACAGCCAGTTTTAGCCTTTGCCTCATGCCTCGTCTGGTTATAAATTAGCCCAGTTGTTGTGTGCAAGCAGTAAAAAGGAAAAGCTCACTTAGCAGCAGTGATTTATTAGTTGTCGGGCTGCTGCTGACATCTGAATGACACAGGTGGCATTGAGGATGAAAACAGAAACCCAGAAGCGGGCAGGATCGGAAGGCTTCAGGAAATAGGAAGTGGTTTTCCCTTACTGCCACTCAACCAGCAGAGAAACGGTAGTTACGCTTCACTGTTTCCTGCTCTGCAGTTTTTTCTTTCTTTCACTGTTGGAGTGATGGTTTTTGTTCAATCTACACCTCTTACTACTTCAGTACATTCATACAAGTTGTGCCAGTTGTTGACAGAGACCTTTTCCACTTGTAGATTGTAAAAGCGTCGTCTTCCTGTATCTGTATGTTCTATACACTGTATGCTGAAAGTCTTTTAAAAATCAATGGGTTATCCATCACTGTAAATCTAGTTGTGCATACTTCCATTACAACCATAATGCAACTAAGATAATATTGTTAGGATGTTTGCATGAGAGTCCCAATCTGGGTATTGTCTTACTCGGGCGCTGATCATATTACAAGAGTGCATGTAAATGAAATAAGTGGGCCTCTCTAGCCTCTCCTGTCCCCTTCACAACCATCTGTAATGCGCTTAAAGCACAACCTGTTTTTAGTGTTGATTACCACAAAGTTCAAACGGCGGTTTTGACAGTATTTCTGCTTTAAATTGTTGGAAGATCATGCTGGGAGGCTTGCCTAATTTTGAATTTCACACTGCTGAAGAGAGCAGCCAAGTTCGCTCAGTTTGAGCCAAGAAAACCACTGAGCATGTAGCCCTAATAATGCTAACCCCAGTCACTGGCTCGGCTTTAATTATGTTGTCAAAAGACGGAGGAAGAGAAGGAGAGGCATTTGATCATTTGTCATGCTGCTAATATTTAAAGGAAAATAACCTAAATCCACTTTGGGTGTGTTGAGGTGGAGATTTTCAACACGCCTAAAATCTGTAGGTGTTATTATTATTATTATATCATTACAGATAGAAAGATGGCTGCTCATTAAAAGGTGACGAGACAAACAATGAATCATGAAGTAATACAAATAAATTCAAGTTTGTTTATTTTTCTAGCTCCTAATTATGCATCTTAAGATGTTGTAGCCATACATATTTGTAAGAGTCCTAAAGATTGAGCAAAGTTAGATAAGAGATTTGTGTGGGAATAATAGTCCAAATAGTAAACTAGGTTCCGTATATGGAGTTTACACTCCATTATTTCTCTTAGGGATGTCTGTAAGTCTTTGGTTTCTTTTTGGGTTGTGGATTGTTATAAAAGACTGAGTAATGTCAGAAAGTCACATAGAGACGTGGAAAAAGTCAACAAACTACTCTGATAAAGTAATCTGGAAGTTTAAATCGTATTTTTAAAAAAATGAAAACTTTAATGTGATATGTGTCCAACACCGGCATTAAAATGATTAGAGGCTGGAGTCTAAATAGTGCACTGGGTGCCTCATGTCTTTAACAACATGGGCCTCATGTAAGAAGAATGCAATAAATTAAACTTGATATTTCAAACAAAAATGTAAATTTGATGATTCACATTTAAAACACAAAAGCAACATTTACAGCTTTTGGTTAAATAATATAGCATGGTGTATTGTGGTCCAGTATTTATTTAGTTATTTAGATTTTGTGACATAGTCTCACAAAAGTGCAATAAGTTGGTGCAAACTTATTGCACTAACTATTAACCCTTTTTGCTATTCTGGACATTTTAGTCTCAGTATCTAATAAAGCTTTTATTCTTTAGGCTAATCTGCTTGGGTCACCCGTCAGCTGTGATAATAGACATGCTGCTTGTAGCTTGCTAACTTTAGTCCTAGACAGTGTTAACCATGATAAGTGGAATAGTTGGCACTGCTTTAGTTCCTGTACTATCCATGTTTTTTTATTTATTTTTTGCCACTGTAGTTTAACTTTTACTGTTTAGTTTTAGTTTTGAATATCATCCTATCCACCTTATAAGGGTTTTAATAATAACGATATTCTCCAGCATACAAATTTAGCTTTCAGCCGATTTGCATATTTTGAGGTCTATGACATCTACACCTGATTTGTGTAAACTTTATATAAATGCTACAAACTTCTGCCCTAAGTGATTAAAAAATACCTTGGGAAGTGTAAAACAGTTGCAGGATCATTCTTATGTTTCCTGCAAAGCCCATGTGCCTAACCTTACTGACTACAATCATAGCATCAGAGAATACGCCGCGTGTCGATGCATTTACAGTTTGATGTATTAATGAAACAAAAAGATTTATAGCAGTAATTGATCTGCTGATAAATTCTTAGAGCTAATCAGGGTAAAATGGGATGCTGTACTGTGGCTGGATGTTAACCCGTTCCTAGTGAAATGCAGAGACAAAGAGGTCTCTGCACCATTTCAGGGCCTCTCTCAGTGAAACTCCAAGATACGTTATTACATGTTCTGTTTCGAAATCTATCTTCGTGGAGCAAGTCATGAATCATGAACACTGCTTAACCTTCACTCTTTTGATGAAAACAAAAGTAAGAACTCAATACTTTGTTGGTTTGTCTTCAGCACTTAACTAATGACAGACGATAATGATC